TGCGAAAAAGGGGAGGCTCCTGCGGTAGCCGGTTGGGTACCTCGTGGAGTCCTTGGACTTGCCTGAGGGAGCGAGGGAGGTGCCGCAGAATGCTTTGGAATTGGCCACATTCCAGTATGTTTTAGCAAAAAAGTGACAGTTGTGCTGTCTAGCTCTGATGATCGGAGCCTGAGCATCCATATGTAGATGTAGATGGAAGAAGGGAGATGAGCGCGATCCTTTTAAACCTTGTCTTCCCGTCTGTCTGACCCTCTGATCCCCCTCCAGGTACCTATCGCTCAAGATGAAATGGCACTTTCTCTGGGTTACGCTGCATCCCTGGAGGCCACAGCATACGGGGATTCTGTGGCAGAGGGCACAGGCGAGTGGATGCACGATTCTACTGAATCATCACAGCTGCCAGAATCGTCACCGTCTGGACAAAGAGCTGGTCAGGAGCTGGATGAGACAACGCGGTCGGACATCTCCGAGAGGCCGTCGGTGGAAGATGTTGAGTCGGAAACTGGCTCCACGGGAGCACTTGAGACCAGGAGCTTGAAAGATCACAAAGGTAAGGGTGAACCAGTAGATGGTAGCTAACACTAGTCTGGAGGACTAAGTACTGTCAGAGTTCCCTGTCCGAGCGTGGGGGTTGGAACCAGCTTTCAGCACAGCGAAGAGTGGCTTCTACCAGAGCCTGGAAGAGCCTGCCTTTCTTAGATGCTTCCTGCTGGAGTGGTTCCATACTCCTCTGTTTGGAGGTGTCCAATTGCTGTGGCCTTTTCAGTTTCTGTGCTCTCTGTCCGGGTCCTGTGCTCTCTGCCCCCTCCGCGGTTTGCATGGTTGTGAGAACCTGTTTTCTCTCCCTAGGCTTCAGGACCACACATCAGGCACATGTCCGTAAATAATGATTCCTCCTCTGAATTTGGCTGCCTCTAGCATAGAAACGGAGGCTGGCTGACAGTGTGGATTGTACAGGCCTCGACTCCCTCCCTCTTTCTCTGTTAAGTTGTGCTTCTGACCTGTTGTACCGTAGGATGTCCACATGAACTCTCCATTTTCAAATAACGGAGTGGGCCTCCTGTTCCGACCAAGCTGCTGTTCCAGACTTCCTGGGCTTGCGTCGCTTAGGTGAATGGCGCACCTTGGATTTGTCACAGTTTGTGACAGTTTCACTTAGCTGCAAACTTATGTAAATGAGCACCAGCCAAAATCTCGACTGCTGAGAATATGAGAGCGGGACAAGTTTTGGGAGGGTGTACCCTGGTACAACTGGGTACGGTTTGAACTGTGGTGACTGACCCTTTGTTTGCATGTCAGTGGGTAGAAAGGCCTGTGGCCCTGATTCTTGAGAGACATGGCAGGTGGGAAAGGAAGAAAAACAGAAAGCAAGCCCCCTCTGTAGGAAATACCGTTGCAGCTTTGTATGGCGTGCAGGTTGCGGATATGCCTTTTTACACCTGGCAGCTGTTCGGGGCTAACAGCGACGAGCATCTCCATCCCATTCTGCCCACGTGAGTCACTGTCCATTGCCATCATTTGTCTCCAGGTTCAAGCATCTCATGAAACTGGGGGCAGTCTCTCTGGTGGCTTGATCACTGGCTAACCCAGGTCTCCTTGAGGCGAGCTGGTCCAAGAGTCCTTTTCCCTGGTGTGTGTTTCTCACGGTGTCACCACATGCAGATGTTCTCACATGTTTTCCCTTCATATGAGTCTTAGCTTTCTATTACAGTTCTGCACACTTTCGCTGCAGGGAGGACATCGTTGTGTAAAAGGAAAGTTACTCAGAGGGGATCTGTGATGGTGCGCTTAGCGAAGCCGCTTGTTGGTATTGTGGTCTGTCCTGAATGCAGATTTTTGCCATGTGTCTGGGAGCTGGGATTTGCTGAGCTGCTGTGCGCTTCCGTTGCTCAGGGTGGAAGACATATGTGCTGCACATCAGAGAACGGCCGGGTGCGATGTTGCCCCCGAGACTTGGCAGGGCAGGATACTGTCATGATTTTCATCTCCTTCCTTTCCGTCTCTGTAGTTAGCTTTCTTCGGAGTGGAACCAAGCTCATCTTCCGGAGGAGGAGCAAGCAGAAGGAAGCGGGCCTAAGCCAGTCACACGATGACTTGTCCAATGTTGCCACTGACTCCACTGCCGGGAAGAAAGCTGGCAGCTTCTCCCGTCGCCTCATCAAGCGCTTCTCCTTCAAGTCTAAATCCAAACCCAAAGTTAACGACAGCGCGACGGCAGGTGAGAACTGAAGGAGGGAGCAGCTGTAAAGATTGTGCAGAGGTCCTTTTCTAGTCTCTTGTCTTCCCACTCTATGGTATCTGTGACCTGCGGTCCGGTTCCTTTCAACCTCGGCCAAGGGAAGACGCCCCCGGTGCTTTATGCCGTTTGGGGAACAGAGGTGGCGAAGCTGGGGCTTAGGCTGCTCATCTGCCTTGGCTTAGCCCTTTCTGACTGTCATATCCCACTGCACTCTCCCAGAAAATCCAGGCGGTATGCTAATCCTGGTGGAAATCCCAGGAGCTGTGGAAGCGACTCTGCCCGTGTAGCCGTCTGGTGTTGCTGGGTGCGTCCTGGAGGGAAGGGGGCAGTGGGGAGGCTCTTGAGTGGCAACGCTCAGAGTTAAAGATGGAGAAACTGCTGGGTTAGCTATGTTGCTGAGAATCATGGTATGTAGCCTCGCACGGCTCTTCTAGTGGGAGAGGATGATGCAGTCTCTGGCCATCTAAATGCTTTTGTTGCTTCTGCGTGGTGCAGAGCCTGTAATCTGACCGAGGCACGGTGCAGTGTGTTCCCAGGCTGTGAGTTGTTGGGAGAATGAGCTGCAGTTCTTGGCTCTGCGGTTCTTGGTTCTTGGAACAGCTCTGTTTCCGACAGTGCTGAAGGATGCCTGCTTTCTGTGCTATGCAGATGAAGGAAGGAGCCTCTAAGAAGGAAGTTTAATGACCAGGCAAGTTTTTGTAGAAGCCTGGACCCTTGCAAGAACATCTGGTTGGTGCTGTTGGCGCTGCCACCCTATGATGCAGCCTTCCTTCCACATCTGCGTCGTCAAATGGGGAACAGGCCATGATGCATGCGTGCACTGGCCGTTGTATGAGCAGAACCCTTTCCCTCGGGGCGGTTGGGAGTGTTGCTGGGCAGGGCTGCCTTCCAGATCTGTGGGGTGCCTGGCCTCTCGTGCTTATGTGGTTCTCACTGAGGACTGGTACCATGATGGGGATGGGGAGTGAGGAATGTGGTGACCCTAGCGAAAGGGCAGCGTCAAGTCTAAAGCCATGTGGCAGAAAGAGGCAAGAGTTTATATGTTTCACTGATGAAAAGGTTTCTTGTAGTAGAAGGAGCCTTTCTTGACTGCATCCAGTATTTCCTTTCTTCAAGTAATCCCAGTCCACCACATTCAAACAGCGGGTGTTTCTGTGGCGGGTATTTGTGGAGGGAGAAGCACATGGGAGAAAATAGACTCCTTGTGCAGAAGGAGACTGCCCTTTTAGACAAATGGTTTCCTGGTCTCCTGACACGTGCCCGTTGCGAATATCCCGAGTCCTTGTTCAGATAGAGTAATGACACTCAGAGAAACCCTTGTGCCCCGACAGCGTGCCTGGTTTGAATGGAATCCTGTGAGTTGTAGAGTTAAGGAGGTAGGGCAAAGAGGAGGGAAAACCTCCCTGAAGAGCAGTCGTCTAGGTCTGACTGGATTCACTAGCTCTTCTCTCCTGTTACAGTACCTCCCAGGTGGGAGCTGTCACCCTGCCTTACGCAGGATGTGACCAACTGAAAAAGCAGTAGTTCTGATGGGGTGCATAAAATAACATCTCGTTCTTCAGGACGCATTCTGGCTTACCCATATGGTCATCGTGTGCCATTTCCAGAGACCGGAACGTGTTCGGTGTGCTGCTGAGAAAAGATGCGCAGACGTGAATTTTGGAGCATCTCTTGAAAGTGTCTGAAGGTGGTGGGGTGGCCAGAGTCACTTAGGGCTTGCATTGAAACCGCTGGTGCTTGCCAGTGGGAGGGATTCTTCTTTCCTGCCAATTCCCTATGAGGCTGAGCACATGTGAGAAATCGGACCAGCCCAGCCGGCTGACCAGGAACCTCTTCTCCATCTGTTTGTTTCAGTCCAGGCGCCTTTCCGTCATCCCTGTGCTCTTCCATGTCTTTTGTCCTTTGTTTCTACCCTCCTCTGGATGGTACCGTGGCTTTGTTTGCAGCTCCATGCGCTGCTGATGTCAGAGTGCTCACCCTTTCTCACTGAATGTGGATTTCCTTGATGTGAGTGCCCAGTTCCTGCTGTGGCGCTGGTGGAAGTTGCCAATACGCGTCTCTCCTCTAGCCATCTGACAGCCGGTTTGACGTGGCCTTCCTTTGCCAGGTTCGCGTGACATTGTGCGTGGCACTGTCGTTTGCAGGCATGCCCCTGTTCCCAGCACCTTAGGGCTTGGTTCCTTTTTGCTCGTTTCTGCTCTCTCTCACCATCCCTGCTACCAGTCTGTCTCTGTTGGTAACGGTACTTGGTGCTCCGGTTTGGGGTTTTGTTTTTAATTTTTGAATGCATGTCAAGGTATTGTTTTGAATGAAAAGTGCCGGCTGAGCCCAGACAGCACTGCTTTTCTAGTGGCATGACTGTGAAACCTTGCATTAGAAATGCTGGTTTGAATAGAAGGGAACTTCCAGAAGAGCCAGCAGCTCTTCAGTTGTGGGTTTATCGCAGGACCTTCCGTGGGTCTCATTGAATAGTCCTGAGTTCTTTTCTTTAAACCACAAGAGCAGCTCAAGCTGTCTTGGTGCAGAGCAGCTGGAGGTGAATGCCCAAGGCTCCCTGCTGTGCTTCTGAAGCACGAGCCTGTGGCTTGTATGCTCAGGGAGAGCCACAAGGTCTAGTAAGTGTTGTCCTTGTTGCTGTAGACCGGAGGTAGGAAAGGCAAGCGAGGTTTATGTCTGACAAACGTGTACCTAGATTTCAACGGGTTCTCCCTTGGGGGAAGGAGGCGATAGGAAAGCTAGGAGTAAAACTGAAAGAGTTCTTCACTGGCCTTGGGGACCAAGGATGCCTTTCTAGCCATGTTAAACAGGCAATTCCTACCATACATCCTTGGGCTTTCCTGAATTTGTTTCCAGCTTTTCGGCTCCAGGCAATGCCTGATGATGTATCACGATGGAGGTACTGGTTTTGATTTTGAGCATTGTCCTGGCAGAACACTCATCTGGGAATCTCCTGCACTGTGGTCTGTGGAACGAATGGCACACAGGATTTGTAACAGTCAGTGTGTATCCTCCCTTGAATTTTTGGCAGTGCTTTTTATCACAGCCTGTAAATTGCTATGAAAGTTTGTATCGGGTTAGATAGATGGCTTGCAGAGGAAAGGGGTATTGTCAAATGCTGACAGAGCACGTCCCCAGACGTTAATTCCCACACCTGCTTGTGTTTCCTAGCAGAGATGTACTTTCTGCCATTTTGTTGCTTCTGAAAGTTGAACAGTGTAGAACTAATACTGTAACCTTTTATCTGCTTCCTTTAAATGTTATCGGGAAGCGCGAAATATTTTTGAGGGTGTTTGGGTAAACTGCTGTTTTGAGGGACAGAGGGGTAGGGGGAGTGGCCACATGCACCGGGAACTTTTCAGTTCAGATATGCTCCCGAGTTAAGGTGTCGATCCTTTCTCTTTGTATCTGTACAGGGCTTCCTTTCTTGCTCTCGCAGTACTGTTTGTCCCTCGAGTAGTAGGCAGTTCGTTTTGTTAATCCTGGTTGTGTGAGTATGGGTGAGTCTCTCAGCTTCCCGAAGCCAAGAACAGTAACGAATCTGCCTCATGAGGGAGTTGTGATTATTGGTGTGAGAAACCATTCTTCTGTCCTAATCTTCTTGGAAAGAAAGGGAAGGTCACTAGTTCTTTGGCCTCCAGAAACTCTAAAGACACAGTCCCAGGAGTTTTCCCCCATAGTGCTCTTGGCTTAAATAAATCTCTTCTGTATTTATTCTCTGCTTGTACCTTCTGGATTTAGGACAGAAGAGACGCTATTTGAAATCTGGTCTTCCCTTTTTAACTTCTTCTGGATACCCGTGTCCTTGCCTCGGTGCCATTGCAGGGTTTGGGGCATTTCATAATGCCCAGTGTGTGGTGCAGGCTGCCATCAAACTTTTTGGAACGATCTGCAGTTGCCAGGTTGCTGTCTTAAGGTAGGCTCAATATCTGCACCTTGTGAAATTGGTCCTCAACCAAATACGTGAGGGAAGAAGAGCAAGAGAGTGGCAGGCTTGAATTTGGGGAGGCTTCTGGAGGAGTTCAACCTGCCTATGGGGGTCTTTTCCAAATGCTGCATTACGCTGCTGGCTCTAAGTATACTTGTGTCTTTTGCTCCGGATACACCCTCTCACCATGTTTCAGTAGGGCTTGTTAAGAGCTTCTCCATGGGGAAAAAAAACCCAAAGCCCTTGGTGTCAGCTTGTGAGGGGTATCCTCTTTGTGGTGAGAGAAAATAGGCATGGGAGAAATAGAGGGAACTGCAAAACCTCAGCAATTTGGGGTGCTGTAGGCTTTAGCATGATGGGTGCCTGACTGATGCCTGATACTCGGAGAGGGTGCTCAAAGGCAGAGGGATTACATGTGTGCACATGTGTTTGCACGCTCTTGTAATTAGAGTGTGCTCTGTGAGTGCCTATACCAATCATGCTGTGAAAGAGCTGAGGATGATGGCACTGATCAGTAGATGAGAGAGTGGCCTTAACTGGCTTTTGTGGTATCCACAAAATATTTTGTACATGGACAACTTTGAAGGCAACCTTGAGCAAACAAGTCCAACTTCTGCCCCTGCAAGCACCCTTGTGCTGTTTGTGTAGCTGAAGACAGGTTTTTAGGCAGATTGGCTAACATGGGGGAGAGCGATAGGAGTTTACTTGGGTAGAGAGCTAGTCAGGAAACAAGTTTTGGGGGTGGGAGGAGCGTAATGAAAGCTTATGTAATAAAATATATATAACAATAAAAGCAGATATAAGAGGGCCACAGGCCCATGCTGTTTCTAGACTAGAACTGTGCAGGGGGAAAAGCGTATGTTTACAAATGTTTTCATTCCACTTGTTTGTCTCTAGTGTTGCTGCTTCTTTCCTGCAACGGCTTCTCTTGGTTCATTGCCTGCTAAACAGAGATGTCATTTCTGTATAGCTGGCAAGATGCTTGAGTGTTGGGTGGTCAGTGATTGGGTGTTCTGGGGTCTTTAGCATCGTTCGCCCCTCCATTCCCCTATGTAGGGAACAGTGAGCGTCATGGTAGAGTAACAGTCCTGGTGATCCAAACTTCTGGAAAAGATCTTTGTGGACTTGTGGTATTCCAGCTCCTTCTACAGGCATAACTGCTCCACACCACCTTTTCTCATGCATAGAGGTACCGGACCAAATATCCATGCTGAATTTGTACGTGCTCTTTTGTACTTCGATGCCTTCTCTCTGGTTGGATTATTTTAACCATGGATCATGTAGAGGAGGAAAAAAAAAAAAAAGAACCATGTAGCTATTTAAGAGATGAAAATAGAATGACTTAGTTTGGACTAAATGAGT